ATCGGGTATGTAGGGCGGTAATTTAAGGTATCGGGTATGCAGGGCGATGATTTAAGGTATCGGGTATCGTAGAGGGGATGGTATCGGGTAGAGTAGGGGCGTGAAGTTCGGAGGTGTTTGGCTCTCCGCTCCCGGTCGGTGCCCAAGCCCTGAACCCCAACCCTAGGCTGTGGTTTTAGCTTCGGGGTTCACAGGGCCTTCTCAGACGTTAGGGTGCAGCCTCCGAAGCTTTGGAAGTTCAAGGTGATTAGGTTTAAGGCTTAGGGTTCAGGGACTAAGGTTCAAGTTTAAGGTTTAGGGTTTAGGGATGAAGGTTGAAGGTTTAGGGTTTAAGGATTAAGGTTTAAGTTTAAGGCTTAGTGTCAGCTGACAGGCGCCGTTGCAACGCAGACCTTCCGTTACGGTCCATGCTTCGGACTACTGAAATTTCTGCCTCAAAACCGTGATATTCTCAAGTGCAAGTTCCAGACTCCTGAACTAGATGCCAAAACTCCTACGGATGAAACCTATGTAAACTTCCAGCTTCTGCCCAACACGCGAAGACTCTCCGAAGCTCAAGCACTTGGCAATCCGACAACACTCAACCAAGCCCTGCCTAATGCTTCACCTGCTCTCTTCGGAGCCCTTAACCACATGAAATTAAACGCTGTCTGCGCATCATCGCAAGCCGAAGACACGCCAAAGCCCTAAAACGCCGGACCCTGGAGCCCTAAAGCCGAGAAGCCTTCTCAACTCCCCACAAGGTCAGCCCAAGCCCGGAAGTACGAGCCCACATAGAGCCTAAATCCCAAACCCAAACTTCCCGAAACCCAAAACCCAAATAACCCCGAACCGAAAACCATCCTAAACTAAACCCCCAACCCAAATAACCCCCAACCCTGGAACCATCCTAGACCCAAATATGGCCACAACAAAACCCTGAACCCAAATAACCCTCCTTTTCTGGAACCTTCACCGAAATTTGGCCACAACAAACCCCAACCCTCCCCAACATGATCCGAGGCCGCCGACTTTCCCAGGGCAGCTCCCTGGCATGGCGCTCCTTCGTCTTTGGGGGGGGGTTTTTAATAATTAGAACAGGGGTTCCCTTTAAAGGGATCCTTACAGGGCTCTATAAGAGATCTATAATAGGGTTCTATATTAGGGCCCTTAATACTTAGAGTAGGGTTTTTTTAATAATTAGAATCAGATTCCCTTTTAAAGGGTTCTTTTTAGGGGCTACTATAAGGGATCTATAAGGGTACCATAGTATAGGGACCTTAATAATTAGAATAGGGTTTTGGAGCCCATTATACGATAAATTACGATAACTAGCATAAGGAACCCCCAAAATAGTATGGGTAGTTGTTTAGGTTCCTAGTTTAGGGGTAATTATTTAGGTTCCTAGTATGGATAGCTATTTAGGTTCCTAGTTTAGGGGTTGGGGTTCCTAAACCCTAAAGCCGATACCCTAACCCTTTCGGCGCATGGGCTGGCAGCGTCCCAAATTGGGAGTTTTTTGGGTTTTTTTTTTTTTTTGGAGCTCCTTTTCTCCAGTGCCCCGAAAGGTCTGAGAGGCAGTTTTTGGGGTTTAGGGTTTAGGGTTTAGGGTTGAGTTTAGGGTTTAGGGTTTAGGGGGTGGGATCATGGGTTGAGGGTTTTAGGAGGGTTTAGGGGGTTTGAGGTTCCTTCGCCGCAGATCTCTGCAGGGTTTCGGGCTTGCATGGGTTCAACCATATGGTCGAGGCCCATGATGGGGTTGGGGTTTTGAGAGCCAATTTTGCATGTGCGCCAAGAAAAGGCGGCGTCCTGCGTCAATGCAGAAGACACACGGCCTGCCAAAGATGCACTGAGATCTTGTTCCAGCAGTCATGGAGGAGCTTTCCTTAATTACGATGTCGTTTTCCGGAAAACCTTTGCGTGCATGCTGATGAAAAATATTGGCACTTCTTCAGGCTTCCGCATACCGACTCCAAACAATGGACAAGGTCTGAAACTGCCTGGAGTACCCGGAGGCTGCTTTAGTGCCCTAAACCCTGAACGCCTGCACCCTAAAGCCTAAACTAGACCCAAATGAACCCTTACCCTTACTAACCCCCGACCTCGGCGTCCTGAACCCCCAAGCCCTAACTCCTTCGGAAGATAGCTTCGACGGTTCCCATCTTACACTAGACTGTAGGAACCTGATTAAGAAACCTTGCCCCTTAATTAGGGTTCCTTATATTATGAGTCCTACTATTAGGCCCAGGGTTGCTTAATCAGGTTCCTACATTACCCTGTAAGAAGACGCAGAAGGAACTTCACGCAGGCCAGAGCCCAAACGGATGGCCTTGGGATCCGCGGCGCCTGACACATCAACATCAAAAGGGCTTAGGTTTCAGGGTTTCAGGTTTTAGGGTTCTAGGTTTTAGGGTTTACGGTTTAAGGTTTAGGTTTTAGATTGCAGGGTTTCGGGTTTCGGGTTTAGGGTTTGGGATAGGGCCTGAGGGGTTCTTGGGGTCTCACGAGGCGTCTCTATCTATACCAGAATCTACACATGTAGCCCTTCCTGCACTTTATAAGCTTCTACCATGGGGTTTTGTGTTTTCACGGGCATAGAGTGCTAAACGGTTTTTGGGGCCTTAGCATTTGAGTTCAGGAGTCGAGGGTCCGAGGAGGGTTTGAGGTTCCTTGCCTAAATGTGTCCTTCTAAGCCCCGGGCGCAGAAAGGAAAAGTCTCTGCCCTCCGGCCACAGATTTGAGAAAACGGCCAACCCTGTCGGCCTCTGTAAGGAGAACCGGCTCGAGGTTTGAAAACTTGTATGTTTTGATCGATCTGCCAGGAAACCACCCTAAACCCTGGACACAAGCCCGAAGCCCGAAGAGCCCTGAGATCAGAAAAACTCCATCAGAAGTGACAGCCGACAGCTCGAGGAGTTCACCCACAACTCGGATTGTCAAGAGCCAAACCCAGAACCCGAAAACCCGAACAACAAAACCCTTTGGTTCCCCGTTTAGAAACAACGTTCCCCGCATAGATACCCTACTAGGGAAAGCTTCAAGGCAAGCCTGACCACCCCTGAAGCCCTAAAGCCTGAACTCTAAACCCCTAAAACCTTTGTCAAAGCCTTACTTCCTGACTAGGCCCCTCGATCTCAACCGGGAGTTTCAGAAAATAGTGGATCCTAAGTTCAACCCCGCATAGTTGGATCCTCAAGACCAGCAACCCCTGCAAAGGAACCCGTACAACACGAACCCGCAACTACCCGTGCTACAGGGGTAAAATCATTGTTGAAAGGATGAAAATCTAGGATACCCAGTAACCTAAGAATAAAAAGGCCTCTCTTTTTGGTATTGGGTAACTTTATAAGGAACCTAGGACTACAAAAAGGGAATAAGGTTACTACTAGGCATCCTAGATGAAAATGTACCTAAACCCCTGTATAGCCAACACCAGGACTCCGGGCCCAGGATCGTGGAAGGCTACATCTCGCAGGACCTTGTGCTTCTGCTTGCATTTACTACTTACAGGATCATGGGACTTAGTAAGTACGTCATAATTGGGGTTATAAGTCCCCTAAGTGGGGTTATCCTAATTATAACTTACTTATAACCTTACTTACTAAGTCCCATGATCCTCCAAGTAGCTTAAGGTTTGAGGTTGGCTTAGGGTTTGGAGTTTAGGGTCTTTTTGTTATGGACCCCTGTTCCTCACTGCATCCAGGACCTTAGGTTTTGGGTTTGTTTCAGGCTTTTTACAGTGTTATTTTGGGCTGCCAGAGCCCTACACCCTGACTTGGGCGGCGGCTCCCATCTGCTCCCCGGGAATCTTCGCCAACACCGGCCGCCCCGCGAGCTTTCGCACCGGGGGGGCTCTAGCGCTGAAAGAATGCAATCAGAGCTTTGCTTAGGGCTTGGGGTGGCTTATGGTCTCCGGTTGCAGAGCTTGGGGTTCCTGGCCGAAGGATCTTAGAGTAACGATCCTGCTGCAATGAGGGCAGGATCCAGACTGGCGGCTGCTGATGTGGTGAAGCTCACCTGTGTTGTCCGGTCGCTTGAATCGGGCGCTTAGGACTGAAGGATTGATGTCAAGTCACATCCCAGACCCTGAAGCGCTGCTTTCAGAAACCTTCAGATCCGAATCTGTCTTGGGAAACTCAAAACCCTTGTAGAACCCGTCTAGAATCCCTATGGAGCCTGCGTAGCCAACCCCGAAAAAAACACCACCCTGAAATCCCCAAAGCTCCGGTAGTCCTGGAACCGGGCTCGGAGCCACAGAAGCGGATCGGCGAGCGATTGAGGCCACGTTTAGGGCTTCTGGTTTCTGACAGAATGAAACCCAGGTTGAGGAGAACAGGCTCTTGGCTGCGGTTTCCAGGCAGAGCAGGATCACTGCGCTTTGTGGTGTGTGGTTGGGGTTGAATGTCGCTGCGGGTCTTGGGTTCGGAGGCTTGTGGGCCTGTGGGCGGACAAGGTTTGCCCAAATTCTGAAGCCCTGAGCGTTGAAAGGTATCGGAGTAAGCTCAGGGTGCTCAGGACTGCCACTGCCCACTGCCACCCTTCTCCGCCTGTTGCGGCTGCTGCAGTTCAACTCAAGCAGCTCAAAACTTTCCCTCTGAAGCTGAAAGCAGTTCAGGATGAATGGTGCTAGAACTTCGGGCTTGGAGAGTCTAAGGCTCGATAAAAGGGTCTGAATACTGACTACTCGGTTTTCCCTGTCGTCCCTGTGTAGATAACGGCAATACCCCAAAAGCCTTTTCTGTTTATTAAGGTTGCAAGTTAAAACAAACCTTCTAGTAACCCGTATAAGCCTTATAAGCCTTCTATTCATTAACACTTCTAGAACTTCAACAGAAACCCTCGGCTAAGTTTCAGAATCACTAGGGCTTCTCGCGGGATCATGGAACATCGAGGCCTTGGCCTCAACACCTCCCGGATTACGAGGCGCAGACGCGTCTCCACTGCCCCGAATTGAATCCGAATTCCTACGCGCTGAATGCTATAGGCTCGACGGGTTTGAGATTCGGTGGAGAGTGCAGGGTTTAGGTCAGGACTTTCACTAAGCCATAAATTGGGGCTCGCAATATCTCGAATCTAGACAGGGTTAGGAAAACACTGCAAGGCAATCCAAGGGCGCATCGCAGCAAGGGCGCCTTATCCATAATGTCTGCAAACATGCCCAACTTCTTCGCCTCCGTGATGACGCACATCCTGCGGCTGCTTCTGAACTTCTAGAGCCTACACATCATGACCCCAGACGGATGCAGCCCACTCAACAGAAGCGCGCGGCGCGCGGTCTTGTGGAACTCGCCGAAGATAAAGAGCCCGGCGCCAGACACAAAGAGCAAGAACACGGCAAAAACCACACCTCAGCATCTTAAACATATCTTTCGTATATGGCTTGGGGGTGACCAGGTCACATACTGTAGGGGCCGTAATACTTAGAGTAAGGTTGTGGGATGTATTTTTATTCTACAGTTATAATAAGGAGCCCCCAAAAGAGTATTTTTAATTGTTTAGGCTCCTACACTATAGAACCTTTATTATAGATCCCATACAGTAACCCTTTTGAAGGATCCCGTTAAAGGAACCCTATTCTAAAAATTAAGGCCTCCAAATTACACGGGCCACTGCAGTAAATTTGTTAGTGCACTGTCCAAGGCGAGAGCCATCCAGAAATCTGGCGGGAGCCACGATCTGCATGACCTGTGTCATGAACACACTCGAGGAAAGAGACCGGTCTATCTATCTGTGTAACTATATATATATATATGCCATGTAAAACAAGCGTGTATAATATATATATATATATATATATATATTATAAATAAATAAATAAACACATGTAACATCTAATTATAAGTGTATGTATATGTATAACTACCAGTCATTATCACCACCAAGGTAAATGGGCGCACCACTGACCCACAGCGATCTAGAACAAAAGGGCCAGCAAGAATGGATCACAACGCCTCGAGCTCCAGCGTTTGGGTTTCCCCGCTTTAAGGTTTCAGGTGTTGGCGTTCCTTGTAGTTGGGAATTGCTGGTTGGGGATAATGGTCACCCGAAACTCAAACTCCCAAACCAGAGACATAAACGGAAAAGTCTAACCGTCAGCAAATTAGGGTCTCCAAATTTACATGTACAGAACTCTCCCATTGCCGATGGCACACTCCCCAGGCTTGACCTTAAACCCTGAAAAAATGAAACCTTCAGTTAGGGCCAGGGCCCTCAGCAGCCATAGCACCTTACACCCCCACGACCCAAACCCGAAACCCTGAAACGCTCGAACCAGCTCCGAGCCCTGGGCCACTGCCCCACCGCGATCCTACACGGCCACTTTCCTAAACCTGGCTCTCAAAGAAACGCTGCGGCAGGCACGGGCACACTCACTGGCGCACGGGATTTACACTAAGCCACCTGTCTTCGCAATCACGATTACCGGGATTACTCTTGTCACTACAACAACTCCTGCCATGATTCTCGCATGTTCTCGCCGTCGCTAGTGCTGCTGATGTTATTCTTGTTACCAGGATGCGCGCCCCACATCAAATCAACGATAAAGAGTGAGGTTGACGGTATCCCGGAAGCTTGGGGGTTTAGGGCTTAGAGGAATTCAAATGGCCGCCGATGGGAGAAGTGTCTACTAGGGCAGGAGCCAGGAGGAGGAGCCGGCGGAAATGATTTTGGCCAGCGGGCGTGCTGAAGGATTCGTCATGGTCAAGCAGGCGGTCGCCGGACTTTGGATCCCTGACGATCATGCCAGGCTACACTGGGTGGCAGTCGCCCCGGTGGAACTTCGCCATCTCACTTTCCAAGGAATCGCAGGCCCTAAAAAGATGCCAGATGCCACACTGTGCCCTGGGACGAGCAGAACAACATAGGCATAGACCCGGGCCATAGACTTGCGGTCACTGCCCAGCAAGCATTAGGAAACCGCTGCACGCTCTCCGGCTCAGGCACGCCCGCAGCCGTGTAAGGGATGAAGCCCGCGGGAACGGGCAATCGCATGGCGCGCAGGGCCTGAACCTGGCTCACACAGGTTAGGGTTTAAAATCTTCGTGCTGCAGGTTGAACATCAGACGCGGTTCCGTCGCTTGCAAGGTGTCCAAAACCGGCTGGTATGACAGCCTGCTTCGCAGAAATAAACGCACCACGCAGGGCTGGCTCGACGTCGAAAACTTGGCAGGAAGTTGTGGATACAGTTTCCGAATGGTCTTCTCCAGCTTGGGGCAAACCTTGGCCAGGTGGTCCTTATGGTACATGGGCCTCCACAGTCACCCTGCCCGACTGGCGGGCAGCCCTTTCCCACGAAGACGTCATTGATCCCTTCAGCTTCCGACGGCAGCGCAGATCCCAGTCGGTTTAGGGCCAGAGCAGACAGGGTCAGGCTGGCGGCAGAAGTCCAGCCTGCGGTTTACATGACTATTTGGAGGATCCGAAAAGATGTAAGATTTCGGGCGGTTTAAGGTTTTCGGGTTTAGGATGTTATATCCGGGGCTTTTTTTTTGTGGATGGTTCTTGTTTCGACTTCCCTGTTATAGGCTTCATAGCATTGGTCATGTCATGCTTGGTCATGTCATTCTTCAGGCTCCACAAAACCTCTAAGCGAAGGCGGCGGTTTAGCGCCCTAGAGATTTCTGCAGCGCCTGGTATGGGGATTCTGGCTGTTGGGATCGGGTGAGTCTTGGGATCATTGGCACAAATACGGCATATCACTGTAACACTCACAATCCCCATAATCTAGAACCCTTAAGCTTGCACTTAGTGTAAAGGATGGATGGTCTTGGCAAGTCGTCCGTTGGAGTCTTGGAGATTAAGGCTTATGGGAGGTTTAAGCATTGAGGGGCCTAGGACACTGCCGGTTCAGGCCATTTAGCAAACAATCACTGCGGGATGTTTGATTCCATTGGCCAATCGTGCCCCACATGTTGCAGGGCTTTACCAGCATCGGTCCGCCCCGGCGCACGCCACAAATTCGAAGAGCCCTTGGAGCCTCAACTGGCGCCCAGTCGGAGTATCACCAAAGCTCTTAAGCTTTGACACAAAGCCCGTCACCTTGGGACCCGATACTGTGAACCCCACAACACGAACCTTCACCCTAAACCCCCATTACTGAACCCTAACACCTGAAACCCTTCAACCTTAAACTCCCAAACCCCCAATACTGAACACCCACACCCTAAACCCCCAAGTCTGAACACCACAACTCTGGATCCTGCTCTCTCCAATCAGCTGTTCGGCGGCCTGGCCTGCTCGGGATGATCTTTTGAGCACGGCTGCCTGGGAACACTGGTGGTCTGTGGTTCTCAAGAGTGGGGTAGATGAGCATGTATTCAGACGAAGCTGTTCAGCAAGCAATCACAGCAGACCTTTAGAATGCTTGATTCCATTGGCCCATCGTGCTCCACATGGGGGCAGACCTAAACCCACATCCCGACAAAAACAACCTGCGCCCTGAACCTCCAACGGTGAATCTAACAATGTCATAATAGAAGCTAAGCATCCCTAAACCCTCAACCCCCAATTCTGAACACCACAACTCTGGACCCTGCACACTCCAACCAGCTGTTCGGCGGCCTGGCCTGCTCGGGATGATCTTGCGCCTCGAGCTTTAAAGTTTGGGTTTCCGGGTTTTGGGGTTTCAGGTGTTGGCGTTCCTTGTAGGTGAGAGTTGCTACTATTTGCTTATAAGAACCCCCCAAAAAATAAAAAAGATATTCCTTATGGGGGTAATATAGGGATTATTATTTTTATTTTTTGGGGGGGTTCTTAAGCAAATAGTAGGTTGTTGGTTGGGGATTATGGTCACCCGAAACCCCAAGCAGCCTAAAAGCCTAAACTCCGAAAGCTTGACACCGCAAAGCCCTCAACCCTAAGGCCCTACAGCTTAAATGAAAGCCCAAAGAACCAAACCCTGAAATCCCGAGACTCTCGAACAGTAAACTCCAAGCACCCGAGACCCGCACCACTGCCCCACCGCGATCCTACACGGCCACTTTCCTAAACTTGGCTCTCTCAAACAAACGCTGCGGCAGGCACGTGCAGAATCACTTTCCGAACTTTGGGCTTAGGGTGTACGGTTTTATGTTCAGGGTTAACGTGCTCTTTCCGAAATCTCTACGTCTCGTAGTTCATGTATTTGCACGAACATCACAGGGCACACTCTGGCATGGAAAGCATCTTCGTAGATTATCCGGAAGGCTTGTCAAGGTTAAAGCTTGTCGCTGCATCGACCAATCATGCAGGGACCCACGAAAGATGATTGACCAGCGTCTGACATGGAACCCGAGAAGAAAGTTTTTTCCTGGTAGAGATACGAGCAAAGGTGGGACAACGGTGTCCTTCAAGGCGCACGTGGCAAAACCCACTGAGGAATCAAAAGGACCGGCAGACCGGCAACACAGGAGGCGGCGAGACCGCCCGTGCGTCTGCGCCACCCCGCTGGCGAAAGAATTGAAAGGAAGTGAGACTCATGCCCCGGCTCTACCCAAGTACGGCGCAAAAACGGCGGGGAAGAGCCGCAACGAAGAAACTTGGCTTAACATCGCATCATGTTACCACCATGCTGCGCGAAATCCTTCACCTACCTGTTGGAGGATGGGATCAAGCCTCTTCTTCGGAAAACGCAGCTCGGATGAGCTGCCAAAACTACTGAACAGGCTGAAAATACCAGTGCCGCAGCTTGCGATCGACGCTTGTAGCTTGAGGGAGCGAGTAAAAAGTGGACACAATCATGGGATCAAGTAACGCTGCTGTTTAAATGACGGGACGACCTACTCCTAATCAGATACGACGAAGATGTATCCTTGAATCTTGTCGGCACTCACATTCTTGACCTTCCGCATAGATATCGCCATGGACATCTCCAGATCCTGTACCCATGCCTGAGCCATCCACAAAATTGACGTTTACAAGAAGAAAGCATCGGGCCATAACATACCACAGCATGCCATCGCACACTGTAGTAAACCGCAGTCTACTAGAGTAACCTATAGTCTATGAACTACTATACAGCATAATTACTGTGATACACCGTAGCAATACTAGTACGCTACAGCAGGTGCTCCAGTATGCGCTGCAGCATCATAGATGTCGCTGAAGTTTCTACGATTTTGGAAAAGTCGACAATCGGCAGCAATGAAGCAGACGCAGGAAAGCAAGTAGACTACACTTCCTCATCGAAAACCCACGTCGAAAACCCACCTGTGGTTTCAAGTCTTGAACGTCCAGATGCTGATTCCTGATTCTCCCTCCAACAATGCCACTACGATGGAGCAAGACAGCCATGGTCGGCCAGGCTGCGATCGTGTAGGTTCCTGGCTTGTCGGGGGCTCTGATTTCGAACCGATGCTCCCGCACTCCTGGATTGCGGCCTGGACAGCGGTCGTACAGGCCTTCCAAATGCACAACGCCACCACCAGCATCACCAACCACCAAGATCAGCTGCGTAATCGCGTTCGGGTAACTTGACTGAGGTGCGAGATCAACTTTGCCCTTTATGACCTCCCTGACACGCACGCGTGTACCGTTGTGGAGAACTTCAGCCGGCTGATCAACATCGACAGATCCAACGATGCGCATGGGCTTATCGAACCGGAGATTGCGAACATGGCCTCCGCCCCCGTGCTCCTGCTGCACCTTGCGGATGTCGTTGCAGATCGCACCACCGAAGGCCAACCAAGCATCATGCCTTCTGAGCTTCCTGGAAAGTGCAATCAGCTCACGTGTTTCCATGAAGGGGCCGAGAGCTGACGAAGCAATGCCGAACAGGACGCTCGCAATGACCTGCACTTTCTCGAAAGTTTCCAGGTCCGGCCAGCGGGCCGCCAGGAACAAAAGCTGCATGACACCTTGCAGCAGATCTTCGCAAGCAAAGCGCACCGCTCCGACGAATCTCTTGACTCTGGCCAGGTCTTTCTTCCTCTGAAGCTCATTGCTTGAAGCATCATCCCAATGAGGCACATCGCAGTACTGCTGTGGCAAATGGAAGCCTGCAGTTTCTGTTGGGGTTGGACTTGTGACATCAAACGCTTGAGCAGACTCAGGGGCTTCCGCCTCCTGGGCCAGTGTTCTCTGCTCCTTCTCGAGCTTCGCTCCCATCTCCTCCACGTGTGACCCGTCACATTCAGCATCTGGCCGGGCCCGAGCCCCAAAGACTGCCTGAGGGAGTCCATCGCACGAGCTGATGCTTTGCATGAGCAGGTGCATGCCGGAGAAACGAGTCAGAAGTGAGAAGTCCCGAGGAATGCCCAACTGTGCCACACGACTGGATAGGCAGCTACTTAGCAGCAACAGCGAAGGGAGCAGCTGCATGACTCCAACACCGACGACAACGATGCCGAAGCTGATCTTCCAAACCCAAGGCTCTGCGCGATGTTTTCGAGCCACGGCTACAAAGTTCAGGTCACTGTAAACGTCATACTTTTCGAGGCAGCTCAGCGCCAGAGCCAGGCCGAAGGTTCGAGTATAACACAACTTCCGTCCCTGCTCGCAGCATAGAGACAGACGCACCTCCAACCAAATCAACACGATAGTGGCAGCAACAAAACTTGCGAAGCAGTACCAGGAAGTCTCTGCGAGGTGCTCAGAGCTACTGGGGACGAGTGTCTCCACTACCAAGGTGCTGCACATTGTCGCGGAGGCCCAGAAGCCCAGCACCTGAAAGCTGACCTGCAGCCGCACCCAAGAACGAGTCGTCCAAAGTTCTACAAGATCGGTGGCTGCTCTCACCACGCGCACAGTAGACGTCGTAATCGGAATCTGTCCGAAGCCATCGCTTGGCTCCGGAAGCTTGATTAAGGTGCCGACTATTCCTGGTGGAATGACTCCTTCTTCGTCCAAGGGCTCCTTGAGCTCCAAGCGCTTGTAGAAGGTGCTGTCAAGGATGCGCCATGCAAGCCATGCGAACTTCTTGCTTTCATAAAGGAACAGATCCATTCTCACAGCAAGCTTAGCGTCATCGATGCACGGCTGGGAAGACACGGGATTGCTCATCAGGCTTGAAAATAGCAACCAACCCTTCTCGAATTTCACATCCTTGTGGTATGTGCAAACTGGATGCGAGGCCGCATTCGTGAGATCCTTGTACCACATCGTGCGCCACTTCGGCAAATAGTTGCAGACTCGGCGAGGGCCTCCTCTGATCCAGTCGAAGGCGAGCTTCTTTACGTCCTCTTCGTTTACATCCTTTTGCTCTTTTGCGTCGTGACCTGAGCTGCATCCTACATGGCCAGGTAGCCCGCCATGGTGAGGACCGCCCAGAATCCAACACAAAAAAGATAATCTATGCATGTACATGTATCGTGAATATCTACCTATGTATACGACGACATGTAGGTATGCATGGGTGTGTATATATATACATAATCATACACATATATATATATATATACATATGTATATAGACGGAGAGGGAGAGAGAGAGAGAGAGAGAGAGAGAGAGAGAGAGAGAGAGATGCAGGCACACTTGTACACACAAAAGTTGTTGTGCATATATGTATGTGTGTGTGTATATATGTATATGTATACGAATATGCACATGTATACATACATGTATATGGATATGTGTATGTATACGTATATGTATATGTATATTTATATGAATATGAAACCAGTATCTATATGCCTAGTCTGGGAGACAGGGTCGCTGCGGGAGTGCTTTCTTTTAGTAGATGTTGTGGCGTGGCGTCTACAACCTTTAACGTTACTAATGTCAAACCCCTTGTGCGTGGATAACATATATGGATATACGTACATATCGGGGCAATACACATTTTTGTACGTATGTATATGTGCTTGCATGCATTTAACTGCACATGTGTGCGCCAAAATTATGTATGCACTTGCATGTATCTACGCATGTGGCGTCTTTATATGTCTAGCGGCTCTTCCGAATACGCATTACTAAGAAACCTCAAAGTACATGAGACATCATTTGCTAAGTACAAAGTGGCATGAAAGATCACAGAACAAACTCTAAGCTTCATCTTCACTGTATCTAGAGACGTCGTCTAAGTTACACCGTCCTGCCAGTCAACAGTAATCACCAATAGAAAAACAGCGGTGGCATTGGATGTCTTATCCTCAAGATGGGAACGTTTATCCCAGACACAACATAACAAACCCGAAACGACATATAGCATATGTATATATAGGTATGTGTCGGTATACGCATACAGATGTGCATATATATATATATATATGTGTATATATGTACATATGTACATAAGTATACATGTAAATATGTATACATGTATGTATGTATGTATATACACATACTTTAGGTGCTCGAACACATGCGCATGCCAAAAACTCGCACTGGACAAATCAGGCCAAGTGGCAAACCATATGGAGAACAATAAAGCTTACACACATGTGTAGAGAAGTTTATGCACAGCTGTATGTATGTATGTATGTACACATGTTTGTGCATGTGTAGATGTATAGATTTGCGTGCGTACCTACACATATGAGTATATGAAAATAACATATATACATAATTAGATATATGCACAAGTGGTTGCGTTTCTGTAATACAACATGGTGATGTCCTGAATGCCATATGGTGTACGCCTACGCTGCACATTCGCTTTTTCACGCGCATACATGCAAACAATGTTGTAGACTTGTAGACGAGCAAAAACTTAAAAGCCAAGAACAGATACCACGGAGTGAAGTTGACGACATGTATGCAACAAAACAAAAAATGATTTATATGCTGATTTACTTGATTTTTTGTGTGTGTGTGTGTGTGTAGGTGTGTGCATATACATAGAAAATATACATAGCAAGAGAGTACATACATGAATCGCAACGACGAGGTCCTAGGATGACTATATGTTGTGAATGCGTGTGCGTAATAAGTTCGCTCGCCCTAGCATCTGCATGAAGGCTCCATTGCAAGTATGGTAGCACGTCTGTCGTCGGATGTCTTTGGCCTGTGGTGCGGGTTTACTTTTATTTGCTTTCCATCATTTTCGCATTGTACGTATTGCTCATCTGCTATGGTAACCTACACATAACAAACAAATCTTTTATGAGTCCGAAATCAATAATACTAGTGATAACAGCAGTACTGCATCATTGTCTGGTTAATTGCCCACATATGTATATACACAAATACATTCACACGGATGCATGTGACATTTCGCATTTTCGTACAGATTGCCAGCATTTGAGGAATTTGGTAGGTAGTTCATATCTATGTACAAAGTCAAACACAGGGATATGTAAAGGCATACGAGCAGGCTTCCATGTAAAGCCTTCGATACACCTGCATACTGACATAAAGACACCACTGTATATGCGAAGCTTTAATTAACGCAGTATGCAGCTGTTATTTACCTACGTAATCATTTTGTTGGCTTGTTTTTTTGGAGTCTGGAACAAACGCATGCGTTTTCATACACGCACATGTTATGTATATAATTTTAATGCTGACATTCTTTGATAATCAGTGCTCTTTCACATGGATGCGCATATGAAATTTATGTATGATGCAAGCACGACTGTATATATGCGTTGTATGTGTATGCATATGCACGCACGTCTATGTGCTTGCATATTATCATAGATCTACGTGTGTTGCTGAAGCTAAGGGCTTATACCACTGGAATAGTGCTGCCGACATTGCAAAATGTAGTCAAGTAGCAAACAACACGGAAACATGAAATTGTAATTGGCACAAGGGGCAGACCACATCGAATCCCTGCACACAGGAATCCAGGAAGCAGCGTGCGGAAGCGAAAGGACGAGAGAACCAAAAAACATTTAAAATTATCAAGAAATACAGAAACACTAATAGTCCGGGACACTCTCCGGCTAGGAGTCCCGGGGCATTAGTGTTGTTTTTGCGGTGGTGGTGGTGGTGGCTCTTGTTGCTGTTGCTGTTGGTGTTGTTGTTGCTGGTGGTGTTGCTGTTTTAGTTTTTGTGTTCGTCTTTTTGGCGGCTTTAGGGCTTCATTTGCTTTGTTGCTTGATGGTAGGTGCAGTTTTTGTTGCGTTGGCCATCCTTTAATCTGGCTAGCTCTTGAGCACTGGCTGTGTTCCATGTCTCTGGGACATGTAAAATACGCAAAAAGTATGTACGCATATATATATATATATGTATGCATTGACATAATATGTTTATACATATATATATATATGTATATGGATACACTTCCTTGTTTAGTTTACTTGCCTTTGTGTTTGTGTCTTCATGTTTATAACGTACTACAACATGTTACAATGTAATACCGTTACATTATGTCATACTAGATCAGATAAGAGGTGAGATAAGAGAAAATAACACTGATAAGACGATAGCCTGCAGCATCAGATGATATACAGTATAGTATAGTATGCCCAGAATATAATACAACATCATATATTGAATTTACATTAATAAATACTACAATACTGCAGCATGTGATATAGCATGATATATTATAGTACATTATGTAGTGTAAACTAACGTGTTATAAGTTGTAATGTATTGTAAAATGTAGTTCGTCATACTACAACATCGTGCAACATAGTAGTATTTGATATGCACAAAACATACAGAGCTCAGAACACCCAGCCAGGATTCCCCAAAACGCAACGTCCTCCCAGAATTCCATGAGGTGGGTGTCTCCATGTTCCACAGTCAACGACTTTGCTTCATCCCACAAAAGCACCGAATTGCTGCCCGATGCCCGCAACACGGCCATTTCAAACTCTCCCAGGCTCTTCACCTGGTCTGTCTACAAGAGACCACGCATGATCCGGGGGTCAAGTCGACAAGGGACTCGCTTCTTCTGGAGGATGCTCTACCGTGCAATGAACACCATTGAAAGCCCCCGCCCTCACAACCCCAGTTGCCACGTCCTCCTGCTGCAAGTGGCCAAGGCAAACCCGAAATGCCCAACTCAAAGCCTGAACGTCATCAACAAGCCAAACCTGCGTTTAGCGACGTAACGCCGAAATACAAACACCTGCCCCTTCCTTAGACCATGCTCACCTCGCCATCGCCCTCTCCCAGCACTTCGCGGCGGAACATGGAGAAGGAGGCGCTTACAGGTCCAACGACAAAACCGCAGGCCATTGCCTGGCGAGTGTTGAAGTAAAGGGGCGTAGGAAAGCTGCAAGCTCACATCTAAATGTCTGCGTCCATGTATGATCTTCGAGGTAGCCTACTGTCCGGCTTATGAGGTACGGCTTCAACGGCTAGCCATTTCAGACTCAAGAGGAGCCGCGAGAACAAATGCAGACGGTGCCGGAATCTTGACGATGCGTCAGTGCTTTCTCAAGGCTCGTGAGATCTATGAGCCTTCCTCTTCCTAGACTATTTAGACACAGTTCTGGATTCACCGAACTCTTTACAAGTGGCCTACACATTTTATTTGGTTGACAAGATGTGCTGCGAAGAACAAGGATCAGGCAGATCGCATCTTCAGTAGTGCTCCAAGCCTACGAAACATCAGACTTGTTGGCCCAAGATTCGTCCTTGAACTGCTGGCTTGAGGCTGACAGGATATGTTGAAGGGCGCAGTTTCGAACCCCCCTGCGAACTTGACCGGGCTCTCGGTACAGCACCCCAGCGACCTAGGTTCTGTACTGGGACGACGCTTCGTGTCCTGAAGCCCTATAGACTGCCTCCGCTAAAGAATCCAGGCTTTCACTTCTACCTCTAGTTGGGAGTTTCCGAAAATAGGGGACCCTAATATAGTACCCTACATAGTAGGATCCTCATTATAGGGGCCCCAAAATAAGGTACCCCCCCAAATTTCGGAAACTCCCAGTTATGTCACAACCGTGGCCTAGGACCAGGACAGAGCCAGTTACAGTCGACAAAACCCTAAACCCTAAACCCAAAACCCTAAACCCTAAACCCTAAACCCTAAAGAAATGCCTGGTCAGTGTTCTCCCGCTTCAAGCCCGCTTGACGGATGTTGAAGCGGGTCGACACCTGCTAGCGCCAGGCTACATCCCTAGCTGTTAGGGTTTAGGGTTTAGGGTTTAGGGCGTCTCGCCGCGCAGCGGCAGTATTTTCTATGTAGGATGGCGCCCCAACACTCCCAGGGGTGTGGGGGGGCGGCATATCGACGTCTAGCGTTCGAAGGCGATTCCACCACTAAACAATTACACATTGGTTCCTCACCTTTTCCCACCCGCTGTGAGAATACACAGGCTACCACCCAAAACATTGCCTTTTAGGGTTTAGCGCTTACGCCCTCAATTCCCACCTGCCCCTGGTCTGTCTGTTGGGGCCGCACCGGGCCTCTCGGACGCGCTGGAAGCAAGGGGGGGCCAGGAGGGGCAGGGGGGGCCAGGGGGGCCAGGGGCCAGGGGGGGCCAGGGGGGGCCAGGGGGGGCGCCACAGAGGGGCAAGGAAGACTCACAAACGCGGAAGGGCAGGAAAGACGCCAGGCCTCCCCCTAGGACCTGCCTGGAGCCCCCCGGGTCCCTGGAATCTGCCAGCTGGGCAGCCCCCGGGGCCGGCTTCTGGGGCCTCTTTCTAAGGGGAGCCAAATGGAAATGTCCACCAAGGGCTTTGGTCGTCGGGTTTAGGGTATTCTAATCTCTTTGAGATTCGAGGGAATTCCCTCTGCAAATATGGGCGCCACGCAAGGGGCTTAATGGCTTGGCTCAGCCCTAGGGGCTGAATTCGACCACTCTCCAATGGCTCCAGATCCCTAGCTGTGTCAAGGAGAAGGTCCTACTTCCGGGGTTGCGCACCCAGGCCGTTACTGCTGCTACTGCTGCTCCTGCTGCTGGTACTCCTGCTGCTGCTACTGCTGCTACTGCTGCCCCCTTCATTGCAGAAACCTGTCGCCCTCAAAGCTCCTTCCTGCAACGTGGACGTAGCTCCAAACTCCAGCAGCCCCTCGTCCAGAATGTAGTTGAAGCCTGGCCTCGGTGTGACCATGGAGGGTTCGGATTTCACAGGCTCATGACTCACCATCGTCAGCAACAAAACTCGAATGTCATGGGTCTGGGGTGCTTCAGGATTCTCAGTTTGCAGACCTGAGGCCTTGGTGGCTGATCGGAGTACCTACTAAACCTAGATACGCACACGCATCGCGAGAGTTCACCTCACATGGAAAGTCGTCCCAAGTAGAGTCTGAGCAACTGCCCGGCCACTGAGGCCCGGGAAGGAGCGTTGGCTTTCTTCATCTGCTGTATGTAATCCTCCGACGACCAAAACTACACAAAGACGTAGGGAGACGACCATTCCGGGGTTTGTCACGAGGGGGTGGCTGGGGTCGGACCTCGCAGGAGGTTGAATTCTCTCCGAGTTTTCTCCGAGCGTTTAGTTTTTCCATCCGGTCCATCCAGGTGGATGGTGCTAAAGACAAATCTCGGCTTGAGGGCGGGGGGGGGGGCAGATACCCCTAAACCCTAAACTCGAATGCTGAGTCCTTGTTGACAGTCTTGGCATTGATGCAGCTGTTCTGCCTGCCCAAACGGCTTCGTTCAAGGCTATCTTGGGTGCGAGTGCGTTCATGAAGCCTGTGGTAGTTGCTGCGGTTTAGGGTTCAGGGTTTATGGGGTTTGCGTGACGCACATTCCATGAATCTAGTAATGAATAGAACACGCAGCCCTGGTCTTAGCTCACCGCTCTCTATGAAACACCATCCACATCCCGTAGGACGTCGTGTTCCTCAACACAACACTGTTGACTCCAGATTCCAAACAGTACAAGTCTTTCGAGCTGTCCCGCAGGCGACATGCTCGTAGGGCAGCTGCTGAAGTCCAACCCCTAAAATGGAAGAGGAATCTAACATAAGAGCCTCAATAAGTACCTATACTGTTCTCGGGGGTTCCTTACTAAGTGATAGTATAATGGGCCACAAAGCCCTATTCTTATCATTAAGGCCCCTATACTAGCTAACTCATGGCAGCCCTGATTCCTCAGCCCAATGCCCCACGCTGCAGACTGCAGAACCGCCAAATTAGGTACCATGAAACAGAAACTGTTTGGGTGTTTGGGATCTGCCATCTCCAAACCTGAAATTCTGGCGCAGTCCTTGCCAACCATGAAGTTTCTCCTTGCGAAATGCCCCACCGAAGGGCAAAAAGAAATCAAAGAAACCTCTCGGAATACCCCACCTGTTGCCAGATACCTGGCCAAGCTCCTTCACAACTCGCTCTTCGTAGGGAACGGTCGGATTCGCGAGACAAAGTGTCTCCTCGGATCTGCTGCCGTTTGGAGACTCAGTAGATCCTGAAACATCTCTTTCACAACAGTCAGGGATACCAACCAAGAAAGCCGAGGTTCCAGGTAGCCCAATTGTTGATTCGCGTTAAGGTCTTCGACCGCAACGCGTGCAATCCCACTCGCCTCATGCTCGAAGGGCTCAGCTTCCAAGAAACCCTTGCGTTGGAGCGCCATTGCGAGCACGCGGTTCCGCACAGGAGCTCAGGATGGCTGCAGTCTTGAAGAAAACCTGTGTAGATTGTAGACACCCCCCTATGGGGTGATTGTTTTTCTGTTGTTGCAACCGTCAGGGAGTGTGGCAAGGTTTACACAAGTTCTGATGTGCTCCACTCCGATACGCAGGATACCAAGGACGCATTCACCTCAGCTCGAATGTTAAGGGCTACCTTGACTACGGAGTTAGGTTGTCCTACGTGCATTCCGACCTACATGATCTCTACCACTGCTCCTGCAGTGGATGGTCCAGATCAGTCATTAGACATGGAATGCATGGCAGACACAGGGAGAGCGCAAGATTTGATCTCCGAAGCAGATTTCGGGAGTTGAATGTCTAAGATATCTACGAAATCCAAGAAGGCCAGCAACATCATCACCGCCAATGTGCAACAACTCTTACACGACAGTAGCCAATACGAGGAACAAGTGGTGAAGATCGTGGGCCACAGCAGTTCTGAGAATTTTGCCAACAGCCTTCTAGTGCAACTGCTGCTGCCGCAGCCGCGTCCGTCGCAAGAGACACACACCGTCAACCAGGTGGTCGCCGGACTTTGGATCCCAAGCGATCATGCCCGCCTACAGAGCGATGGAACTTCGCCATCTCAAGCCTTCTTCGTCACGGTCACCCGACTGGCGGGTCGCCCTTTCCCACGAACACGTCGTCGATCCCTTCGGCTTGCTCAGTTGGTTTAGGGCCAGAGTAAACAGATCTCGACAGTGCCACGTCTGAAGTTCGCGGCGCTGGGGAGAAGTTGGGATCTCTTGATGCATCTTGGTCTCTCGCAATCATCCGGCTGGGTGGAAGGCCGGGTCGCAAAGCCTGGCCACGTTGTCTTCGGACTGGTTCCGCAGAGCCCGCTCTTTCAGGAAAGTCTCGAAGAGGAACCAGCGACCACCAGGTCGGATCCCGGAGCCCAGCTGCCTCGCGATCTCTCCGATAGAACCCGCCGTTTTCAGGAGCACCTCGTGCGATGCCATGGCGATCATGGAAGCTAAGGTGATGGAGGTGGCGGAATCCTGCACGCTGTGCCGTGGATCGATACCAGATGCCCGAAGGACCGTGGCACCGTTCTGGGGCCCCAAGGCCTGTATGGTGTGCCTGGCATCGAAGTTATCCGTCTCGAAGAGCCCGACGCACTTCGGGCCGGTCAACTTACCCGCCAAGCCTGAGGCAACGTTGAGGTTCCAATACGAACCGTCATGATGCTTCGATACCGGGTTGGAGTACTCATAAAGAGGAAATCTACAAAGACATCCTCAACCCCGAAAGGTGCCCTAAGCCCTCCAGACCTAAACACCATTAGCATTTGACTCACATCAAACCCCACAGATAAGCTACAACTAGAAGTATGTCAAAGCTGAAAGACCGGGTTGGGCGAAGAGGTGGCCGCACAGCTGCCTAAAGCACTCGGCCATCACCGTCGCAGCCCTCTTCGGGTTATCCAAACCCCAGACCTTGTTCACGATCACTTGGCCTCACCGTCGGATTGAGATTTTTGGGCTTTGGCCTTTAGGGTGTAGAAATTGTAGGGATTGGAAAGTTTTGGGAATTGAGGTTTGGGGTTGGCTGGACGCCCGGTGGAAGTCTGAAACTGCAGGAGTCCAAGAAAGGAGGCTCGCCGGACTTATGTAGGGGCCTGAACAATTAGAGTTGGGTTTTGTGGCATATTATACTATATATATATATATATAGATATATATGGTAAGGAGCCCCAAAATAGTGTTGGTAATTATTAAGGTCCCAAAGGTGCCAAGCGGCGCTTGTCTCTGCCATCGCCCGAGATGGAGTTCTTCACCGCATCTCCCGTGCGGAGCTGAAGGGCGATCTGGCCGGGCGGCTGGTGGCCCAGTGCCTTGTCCACGTCCTTCTTTCAACAGCCGTCTATAAGCTACTATTAGGGATACTATAAGGGTATGATAATGTAGGGGCTCAAAGATTCGACATGACTATAGCTATATCCAACACCTTTCTGTAAACCCCCCAGGCATGCTTCGCAAGAACCACTAAGACTGCATCATACTGAACCTTAAACCCGAAACTCTAAGCCGCTGTCCCAACATCCTACCTCAAATCCCCACACAGAGGATCCCTGCGTCCAACGGCCGACTCTCGTGTGTGGGTCCGGTCCTTCAGCAGGGACTCCTTTGCGCCCAGGGCAAAGTGGAGTAGACAGCCTGGCGCCTCGAGGAGGGGGCTCCTATACCCACTATGCCCATCATCAACAGCATCACCGTCATCATCATGCACTAGACCCGAGAGTAACCTAGGTATGAAAAGGGTGCCCTTTTTGGTTTAAAGGGGCTATAAGGGAACCTGAAACCCCCCCAAAAAAAAATGAGGGCCTACTCTGGGTCCTAGTGCATCAACCATCATCAACAACATCGCCATCAGCATAAGCATCAGCATCAGGATCAGCATCAGCATCATCATCAGCGGCAGCATCAACATCATCAACAACAACGTCGTCGCCATCGTCGCCATGATAATAACAGTAGTAGCATTATAGTAAGTAACCATAGTAATGCAAAAATGACAACAGGAATTGCAAGCATGGTAACAACTGCAGTGACACTATGATGATGGTGTGGCTGTGACCACGAGTATTAGAAAATTGACTTGCTTTCCGCTGTTGATGGCGATGGTGATGGTCATGGTCGCTATGGTGGTGGGCGCTGGGAGGATGATGATTATGATGATGAAGATGAAGATGATGCAGATGACGAAGATGATGAGGAGGAAGAGGATAATCATACCCAGAACTCAACCCAGAGTTCCGAGAAGAAATCCACCTGCCCCCGCTGCGGGAAGGCATCGCGGATGGCCACGTCCGGCAGCCCTGCAGCACGACCGGGTTGTCGAGCTCCGGATTTAAGAGCTGGGCTTCTTGACAGATGAGACATTTTGCCGCAGAAAGTCTCCATTGCTGGTGAGGAATCTTCTAAGCGAATTGAGGCTTGCACGCATAAAGCTGCTGATGATTAAGAGCTTAGGCCTTGGGTTAGATAGAGGGTTAAGGGGTTCGTCTCGGCTTGTTTTGCAAAAGCCTTGCACGGGTCTACCAAGGCCTATGTCGTAACACAGAATTGGACCCTGAACACCAAACCGAGACACCGAACAAATAAAATCAAATCAGGCGCGGCCTATGCCAGAGAGGTTGCCCCACTTCGGCGGCAGCATGCCCCAGTTCCTCGCCAGATCCGCAAATTCGACGTCAAAAAACCACAGAACCGAATTTTCTCCAACGGATGAGCCGTAAACCAATCCAGATCAAAGTTGGCTTTCAAGCTTTTAAGGGCCTACTTAAAGGATCATGGGACTTAGTAACTCGGGTTATAACAAGGGTAACTATACTTATAATTACTTCTAACCCCAATTAACGTACTTATAACTCCACTTACTTAGTCCCATGATCCTCCAGGCAGGGAGGACGAAGGGCGAGAGGCTGAGGCCTGAGGGCTTAGGGGCATTGGGAGGTAGGGTTTTGGGCTTAGGGTTTAGGGTTTCGGGCCTTTTGGGGTTTAGGGTTTAGGGCCATTTTAAGGTTTTTTGGGGGTTTTGGGCTCAGGGTTTGGGGCCTTTTAGGGTTTAGGGTTCAAGGTTTTGGGCTTAGGGTTCTTTCCCTGGCTGGGGCAAACCGTTATCTATACTGGGAGCGGATCTTTCGTCGACCCACCCCGGCTTGCAAAGCCAGATAATTTGGGCGATGAAGCGACTTTGGTCCAAGACTCCACAGGCTCTTAAGGTTACAGTGCAGAAACCCTTGCACTCTGTATGCGTGAATATGAAGGTGCCGTAGTATTTGGGAGACCCAAAAAGGCACCCCGAAACCCTAAACCCCAAACCCTATATTTTGAGGGACCTGAACGGGGACCCTAATTTAGAGACCTACCCAAAGGCTGACGCCGATCGTTGGGCCTCCCAGGCTCCCCGGTAAAAGTCATAGAACCCTTGCAGAACTCTTGTAGACACCCTGCAGAAGCCCTTGTAGAAGCCTTAAGATCCTAATGGAAACCCTGATAGAACCCTTCATAAAGCCCTGCCAGAACCCTCACAGAACCCCAAAGACCCTGAACCTTACACTTACAATCGGTGCCCTCCCTAAACCCTACACCCTAAACCCTGAACCCTGAACCCTAAACCCTAAACCCTAAACCCTAAACCCCATTCCCTCTGCATCCCAGGCTCCCGGTGAAGTGCATCATGGCCGTACTGCCATTTGCCAGGGTCAGAGTCGGCCGAAAGTTGTCCTCCCATCACGGTTTAGGGTTTAGGGTTTAGGGTTTAGGGTTTAGGGTAACCCTGAACTTTAGAGGGTTTAGGGTCTAGGTTGAACTTAACGACGAATATAGGCTGGAATCTACGGGTTAACGATCTGAAATTTACTTGTCGGGTATCATGGGGAACTAAAGGTTAACCTTTTTGGTGAAAAAGGGATTAAGATATAGGAGCTATACTACTCAAAAAAGGTTAAGGTTGCCTACTCTACCACTAGGTGAAAAGAATTTACCAATGCTAACTGTCAACTTTAAACTCCAGACCTAAACACTAACCCTAAACCCTAAACACTAAACCCGACGGTTCGACCGTCTCCTGGAACCGGCCGAAGTTCCAAAGCTCCGCCAACTGCGGCTTGCAACCGGCTCCCACCTCCCAGCGCTTTGGAGGGTTTGGGGGTTTGGAAGTTTGGGGGGTTTAGGGGGGTTTAGGGGGGTTTAGGGGGGTTTAGGGGGGTTTAGGGGGGTTTAGGGGGTTTAGGGTTTAGGGGGCTTAGGGGGTTTAGGGGGTTTAGGGGGTTTAGGGGGTTTAGGGGGTTTAGGGGGTTTAGGGTTTAGGGTGTTTGTTTACGGTTTAGGTTTAAGGTTTAGGCTTTGGGGTTTAGGGGTTCAGGATTGAGGGTTTGGGGTTTAGTGGAGGTCGAAGTTTCAGGTGTTTAGGTTTCGGGCTTCGGGGGCGGGGTGTTCTGCAATGCGGCTTTTTGGATAAGGCAGCCAGAACGGCTGCTGCACAAGAAACCCTGAACACCTAAGTGCTAGAGTTGTTTGCAGTACTCCCGAAAGAAACCTGTGACCCTGATAGAAATCCTAAATCCACGTAGTAGCGCTTACGCAAAAACCGTTACAATAGCCCTGAATATTAGGCACACATTATTCCTTTAGAGACTGCTTAGAAGCCTATAAAGGCTTCCATATCAGCTTTCTACCATAACTTCTATCAGGGCCGCTAAACATGCCATAAACCCCATAGAAACCCTTATGGCAACCTAAACCCTTTGAGAAATGTCGAATCCTTTCCCTGATAGGAAGGAGAAGTGAAAGGAGCCCTAAACCCTAAACCCTAAACGGCCCCCAACCCTGAGCCCAAAACCCTAAAAGGCCCTAAAAGGCCCTAAACCCTGAAACCCTAAAAGGCCCTAAACCCTGAAACCCTAAAAGGCCCTAAACCCTGAAACCCTAAAAGGCCCTAAACCCTGAACCCTAAAAGGCCCCAAACCCTGAACCCTAAAGCCCAAACCGAGGTTGCGCCCCACCGGATCTTTCCAGTTCAGGAACCGCGGCCGGACGGCATCTTCGAGCCTGCCCGTCGGAGTCTTAGGGTTCAGGGTTTGGGTTTACTTAAAGGATCATGGGACTTAGAAACTCGGCTTATAGTTAGGGAAACTATACGTATAACCCCAATAAGGGTACTTATAACCTTACTTACTAAGTCCCATGATCCTCCAAGCAGGTTTAGGTGCGGGGTTTCAGGGTTCCTTGAAAGGCTCCTGTCAGGAATCCTTCAAAAGCTCCTTCAAGGGTTCGATAAGGGGCTTGCCTATAGGCTTTAGGGTTAGGATGCTGGGTCTAAGGAACCCTTTAAAAGAACCCATAAAGGAACCCCTTAAAAGGAGCCCGCAAGGTTCAGGACCTCGGCCACTTCATCCGGAAGGCCCTGCCAGAGATCATCGCAATGTGGAGCGCGGAGTGCAGACCCTGCCTGGTCTTGCTTCATTGTTTAGGGTTTAGGGTGTAGGGTTTAGGGTTGAGGGTGTAGGTTTTAGGATTGAGGGTGTAGGGTTTAGGGGTCCGTATGCTTCGCAGCTTTATGACGGTTTGTCATTGTCATAACAAGTCCTCTGGTTGCTCTTGTTACGACTACTGTGTCCACCCGACGTCTCAGCAACACAGCACCTACACTAGAACCCGAGCTGTCCATCACCGAAACCCCAAACCCGAACACTCGAATTCAACACAAAACTGACCTGTGCGCTCGAACCGCCTCTAACACCCTTTGGAAAACCTTTCAAAACCCAATCGCCAGATTATAAACCTACTTCTGACTGTAAAGCCCTGAAATCCCCAAAAAGTCCTATAATATAGGGGCCTGATTAATTGGAATAAGGTTTTGGGGCCCATTATACTACAATTATAATAAGGAACACACCCCCCAAAAAAAGAATCTATTGGCAATTGTTTAGACCCCTATATTGAAAATAGGCCTCTAAACTCCACCCGCCTTTCGAAACCTCCTGCCGAGGCACAGCAAGTTGCCCAGGCCCTGGCCCCGGGCTCCTTGGAGATGCGTCAGCACCCTGGGCCTCATGGGCTCGGGGCTTGGCGTGATCTTATACTTATATATATATAGATATATATATATATATATATGTATATATATATATGTGTATGTACATATATATATATATGTGTGTATGTACATATATATATATATCATGATGCTGTATCATAAACAAAGATATTATATTATGTCATGATTTATCATATTATGTTGTACTGTACTGTACTATACTATATTGCAATACAATATGTTGTCTTACATTCTATTGCATGTTTATGTGCTGCCTCCGGTTTAGGGCCTGGAGTTGTTGTGCTCAGGGTTTGGGGTTTATTGGGGATTTGGGGTACAGGTGCTGTTTAGTGGGCTGTGGTGAGGCGGCTGCTGGAAGGAAGCCCTGAAGCCCAGAACCTCCAAGAAGTGACCTGGTTCTCGACGCGCTCTTCGGGCTAAAAGGTTTTGGGTTTAAGGTTTAGGGTTTAGGGTTTAGGGTTTAGGGTTTAGGGTTTAGGGTTCGGGAGAAAAAAGAGTTTTGCTGTGCTGTAGGCTCCCCAACGCTAGTTATGAGCAGATACCTCTATGAAACCTGAAAAACGTCGTCTCGTCATGCCAACTTGTCACCACCCCAAAATCCTAAACCCTAAACCCCAAAACCCTAAACCCCAAACCCTGAACCCAAAAGGCAACACCACCGCATAGTTGAGCGTTTTGGACTCCCGAACACTACCGTAGAACGCTGCAGAGCCTAACGATCGGCAACAAAACCCTACCGAAATCCAAAACCAAAGATAAACGATAAACTATGAAGGCACTGACACCCAACAGCGACAAAAGATGAAACCTGAAGCTCTGCCTACACTCCAACAACGGTTGCTCTTTTCAACAAAAGGTCAACGCGACCCCTCAACAACAATACCCCGATCCTGACACATCCCGTCAACGACTTTACCCCAATCCTGGCTGACAGGTTTGCTCTTTCCGAGAAAAACGTCGACACTACCAGTCAATGCCTTTACCCCAATCCTGGCTGACAAGTTTGCTCTTTCCGAGAAAATCGTCGACACGACTTGTCAGCGACTTTACCCCAATCCTGGCTGACAAAAACCATCAAAGACAAGCTATGGAAACACACAAAACGCCCCAAAAATACCATAAACCCTAAACCCCCTAAACCCTAAACCCTAACCCCTAAATCCTAAACCCTAAACCCTAATCCCTAAACCCTCAACCCTGCAACAATAAGACCATAGCAAGAGGCGAAGGCTGATCAGGCCGACAGGTGCCATTGCCCGGGAGAATGCTGCCTCAGCCGTTTAGGGTTTACTTAAAGAATCATGGGACTTAGTAACTAGGATTATAATTAGGGTAACTATACTTATAACCCCAATTAGGGTACTTATAACCTTACTTACTAAGTCCCATGATCCTCCAAGTAGGGTTTGGGACTAGAGGGTTCAAGCATTTTAGTTTACAGGAGTCAGGGCGAAGGGTTCAGGGTTTAGTGATGGTGCTTCCGTAGCGGTCCTGGTGGTGGCGGTCATGATCTTGAGGATGAAGATTTGGGGTTGGAGGGTTTAGGGTTTAGGGTTTAGGGTTTAGGGTTTAGGGTTTGGGTTTAGGGTTTAGGGTTTAGGGTTTAGGGTTTATGGTTTGGGTTTAGGGTTTAGGGTTTAGATTTGGGGTTGGAGGTGTTAGCGCCCCTGGTGAGGAGTTGAGAGGTAGCTTATTGTGCCTTAAACCCTGAACCCTAACCCCCCTCGACCCCGCCCGTGGCTCAAGCGACCTACATGTTCAAGCCTCCTTATTTCGAAACCACCCTCATAGGCCCCAAAAAAAGCTTCTTGTCGGGGTTTTAGCTTCCTTCTTTGCGGGATTCAGGGTTTAGGGTAGGAGCAGATTTGAGCAGATCTATAGGGATTCTAGGGCGCGTGTGTCACCCCCAAAACTCTGAACCCCCACACCCTAAACCTTCAAACGTTGTTAGTTCCAGACAGGGAGCCATTGCGCATCTGCACCACCATGAACCCGAGCCAGACTCTTTCCTACGAGCAGACATCAAAGTGCTTTGGGATTTGTACTAGAGGGGTTTATGGGGTGTAGGGTTTAGGGTTCAGGGTTCATACGGAACCCTCAGGAATAGCATTAGCCGAAGGCTGCCGACAATCGAAAGTCCAAGCCCCCACCGCCCCCCGGAACCCCCAAGGCGCCAGAACATCCCCAGTCTGTTTTGAATAAACAACCTGGCCTTCATTTAAAAAAGAAACACCCAAAGGCCCAGGGTTTAGGGTTTAGGGTAAACCCTAAACCCTAAACCCTAAACTGCCGGTCCTTCAGGGAAAAGCTCTCCACCGCCTCCCATACCCCAGATGACTGGCGGCAGGGAAACCCACAGGCCCGATCTGTGGCCTCCTCTACGGTGGATGACATAAATCCTAGGGTTCCTTTAAAGGGATCTATAAGGGTACCTTTAAGGGATTCCTTTAAGGGATCTACAGGGGGTTCAGGGTTTAGGGTTTAGGGTTTAGGGAAATTAGGGGTACCTTATTTTAGGGTCCTAGGGTTCCTTTAAGGGTTTCCTCTAAGGGTTCCTTTAAGGGTTCTATACTGGATCTATAAGGGCTTAGGGTTAAGGGTACCTTATTTTGGGGGGTCCTTATAACACCTTAAGAACCCTAAACTGTGGGAATTGTGGTATATTCCTTATTTTGAGTAATGCAGGATTTATATCATCAAGAGTAGCGCTGGTTCCAGCAGTTTGGCTTAAGGTTGGGGGCTTAGTAAGGAATGGGGGAATGAGTTATGGGGACTACAATACTATTGGGGGATCATATTGGGCCACTATAGGGATCCATTCCCCTATTCCCTACTAAGCATCAGGGAGTAAGGCTTGGGGCTTTTAGGCCTTAGGGTTTAGGGCCTATAAAGGCTACTGCAGGTATCTTCATACTTGGCGAAACACTGCCGCAGAGTAAACCCGAAACCCCGCACCCAGCATGCGAAACCCCGAACCCTTAACCGCAAATCCTGACCTCACCCATAAACCCGAAACGCTAAACTCTAAGCCCTAAATCCTATCCCTAAACCCCAAACCCGAAACCCAGAACTTGAAACCCTGAACCCCGATGGTTTCTGGGCTCTCTGAGACTGGGATCCTTGTTGTAAGGACCCCCAAAATAAGCTACCCTTAACCCTAAGCCCTTATAGATCCAGTATAGAACCCTTAACGGAAACCCTTAAAGGAACCCTAGGACCCTAAAATACGGTACCCCTAATTTTCCTAGACCCAAGAGTAACCTAGGAATAAAAAGGAACTCCCAATCCTGCAGACTGCCATTCCTGCCGGAGAGGTCCTCGAACAAGGACGGCAGGGTCCTGCTGACTCCCTACGGAATTTCAGGGCTTCGGGTTTAAGGGCTTTGGGTTAGGGATTTTTTTTTGAGCTCCTTTTCTCGGGTTTAGTGTTTAGGGTCTAGGGGTTGAGGGTTTAAGGCTCAGCGTTTAGGTTTTAGGATTTGGGGCTTAGGGTTTAGGCTTTAGGATTTTAGGGTTTAGGGTTTGGGGCTCCCGACGTGAGGATCCCATTCCTTCGAGTCCTGTTGCCCAGCGACTGGCACACAGCTCTGGCCACGGTCGCAAGGCCCCGAGAGGAGGCGATCTTCGTCCAGATGCTCTGCAGGGGAAGCTCCAGCAGATCCTCTTCGGAGAAGTCCTCGTCATCAAAATCTGGTCTTTGGGGCTCTTCCACAACTGAAACCAGGGATTCTGCGCCTGCTATGGGAGTCTCTTGCAGAGTCTCATTGCCGGTCTCTGTCACGGCGCTGAAAGCTGCCGCCGCTTGTATGCGAAAGGAGGCCAGGGACGTCGCAACAGTCCCGCTGCTCGTCTGGGCCATCCACATTCCCAGACCGGTCAATGTCACAACGACCACCAGCCATCGCCGCAGAGCTAGCATGATTCGGCCGACCCTAAACCCTAAACCCCTAAATCCTAAACCCTAAACCGCTCAAGATACAAATGCGCGAGAGTTGAGCAGCCAGCAGGGCTTCCGGATGAAAAAAGCCTCGGGGCCCTAAAACCCAAAACCCTCAACTCTAAACCCTAAAGATTAAACCCTAAAAGTTACACCCTAAATCCTAAACTCTAAACCCTAGACTCTAAACCTTAAACCCTAAACTCGAAACCCCAAACTCTCCAATCCTCCACCCTCGACGTAGCTTGATCCATCGGAGGCGAGGACAGCCCGACACCATGAAACATCTCTTGACGGTTTAGGATTTAGGGTTTCGGGTTTAGGGTTTAGGGTTTAGGGGTTAGGGTTTAGGGTTTAGGGGTTAGGGTTTAGGGTTTAGGGGTTAGGATTTAGGGTTTAGGGCTTTTCATGAAACATCTCTTGCTAAAGAACACAGAGCTTAGGGTGTAGGGCTACTCCAAGGGTACTACGGTTGATGATAGAAATCCTGCATTACCATGCATTACCCATAATAAGGAATATACCACAATTCCCATAGTTTAGGGTCCTGAAGGTCATTCAGGATTTATATCATCCACCGTATAGGGGTTCCTTTAAAGGGCTCTATACGGGTTTAGGGTTTCCGAAACATAAGGAGGGCCCAGGGGCGTTAGGGATTGAAGTTTAGGGTTTTCTGGTTTGGGGTCCAGTGTTTAGGGTTTGGGGTGTAGGGACTAGAACATTACGGCTTTGAAATTCTTGTAGTTTAGGGGTAAAATAGGGGCCTGAAGAATCGGAATAGGGGTGTTGGAGCCCAGTATACTGTAGTAAGGAACCCCAAAATAGGAGGAACATCTTAAAGGATCAAGGGACTGACAGTTTAGGGTTTAGGGGCTGAGTAAAGTAGGGTTAACAAAGAGAGCTATGGCTATCTAGTTTTATTTTTACAAAGTGAAACCACAAGTGAGGTATCTCTAGCCTTACTTACAGTACTAAGTTCCCTCTGAAACCTCTATTTTAGGGGCCTTAATAATTAGAATACGGGCTTCCTTTAAAGGAATCCTTAAAGGGTTCTATAAGGGATCTATAACAGGGTTCTATTTTAGGGGCCTTAATACTTAGAGTAGAGTTTTGGGGCCCATTAGACGATACTTGTAATACGGAAGCCCCAAAACAGTACTGGTAGTCTAGACCCAAGAGTAACCCAGGCATAAAAAGGATGCCCTTTTTGGTTGAAAGGGGTTTATAAGGGACCTGGAACCTAAAAAAGGGAATAAGGGCCTACTCTTAGGTTCCTTTCAGGGATCCATAAGGGTACTATAGTATAAGATAAGGGCCTTAATAAGGTCCTAGGAGTTGTTTAGGCCCCTATATGACGTGCAGTCGATGTCTTACTCGGAGCAGGGCCCCCGGGCAGAGAATGCGGCTTTACCACACATCTTTGCGGAGGGCAAGGGAAAGTTAAGGGCTGGAAGCCATGGTCCTTGCAGATCCAGTCGCCAACTACTACCATTCTTCGTCGTAATCGTTTCTGCTATGCTGCAAGAAACTGGGACCGTCTAACTCGCAGTAGCAGACCCAACCAAGTTTAGGGCATGCGGCTTCGCATTTCTGCATGCGGTCGTAGCCCCCGAAGTACTCTTTTTGCTCATGCTCATAAGTGGAAATGTCCTTCTGACACATGCATCTGGCGAACCCGAGCTCAGCGTGCGGGTGGAACTTCTCGGCAAGCCACCCCCACTTCTGCGACTCATTCGCCGCCCCTGCATCGTCGGTCACCTGGACATGCCGCAGAGCAGAACAAAGGCCCATCAGCACCAGGAGAAAGCGGAACAGCATGGCTCTGGAACTGTGGAAATACAAGATCTTGGCAAACGACAGGCAGACTTTACCTGAGCCTTGAGCCATGGCCATTTTGGTTTCGGGTTTCGGGGGCTCTTGACAAGGAACTCCCTGCTTTAGGGTGCAGGCTTTAGGGTAGTACTTCGGGTTTATTTTTCCGGAATGGGATAGGGATTTATGGCGAACCTATGAGGGTCCTTCTTAACGAAGCTTGGTTGTTCATTCCTGTTGCAGGAGGAAGAGCCCCGTAAATCGTCTCGGCGTGCATGGATGGACACGTGACAAAGCCCTTCACCATCAAGAAGGGCTACAACAAACTACCCTAAACCCTGAACTCCCAAACCCTAAACCCTAAACCCTAAACTCCCAAACCCTAAACCCTAAACCCTAAACTCCCAAACCCTAAACCCTAAACCCTAAACTCCCAAACCCTAAACCCTAAACCCTGAACTCCCAAACCCTAAACCCTAAACCCTGAACTCGAAACCCTTAAGGGAGCCCAGAATCCGAGCCACGGTAAGCCCCCGGCTCTCGAAGCTTATGTCCTCAAGCAACTTTTTGGGTTTAGGGTTTAGGGTTTAGGGTTTAGGGGTTTAGGGGTTTAGGGGTTTTAGGGTTTAGGGATTTAGGGTTTTAGGGTTTTAGGGTTTTAGGGTTTAGGGTTTAGGGTTTTAGGGTTTAGGGTTGTGTCAATAACCCTGAGGACTGCGGGTTTGCAGTTCCTTTAAACTGTAAGCCCCTGATTTAGGGCTGCATACCCTTCAATCCTACACCCTAAACCAAAGAATCGAACCCTGGGCCGCGCTTCTGACAGGAAGGTGCCACGCACTCTCCGAAGGTCTCCGCAGGTCGCGAGCTGTTCTCGCGAGCCGCAGCCACTTTGGGGCCACGGCCTAATTGTCCCCAAGCCACCTTCTCCGTTCACCAGTACTACGAGCATCCTCATCACCATTACACTAATACAAGTAGTACGGATATCACTGTTTTGTTTATCATTATAAAAATTACCTCTACTACTTGAGGGGTTCCTCAAGGTAAGTACAGTATAACAATATTATTACTATTAGATGTCCCAAATGTCTTCGCACACCGCCGACCTCAGCTTCGCAGCGCAGGAAAGAAGGGCAGAATATCGTTCTCTTCTTGGTCAAGTCTGGTTTTAGGGTTTAGGGTTCAGGGTTTAGGGTCTAGTCTGGTGACATGAGCCTCGGATTTGGCGGTCTAGGTCTAGGTCTTGCAGTTTCTTCAAGCCACTCATCATGAACTTCCGGGATTCTCTACAATATCGTGTTCTCACACCTGATAAAATTCAGAAGGTGCCGGATCCTGAGGGATAGGGTTGAACCAATTTGGGGTTTTGAGGTGGATAGGAGTGTTCCGGAAAATCACTGTTACCCCACCTCGACGGCCTTGGAACAACTATCCTTGTCTCATGAGTCGAGCTTGACAGTCCGGGCTTAGGGTTTACATCAGGGACTCTGGAGTTTGCATCAAGGGTCTGGAGGGTTGCTGAAATTTACACCCTAAACCCCTAAACCCCTAAACCCTAAACCCCTAAACCCTACCCTTCTTCAACCAGCCAACCAAACAAATCCCCTCAGAATCAGTCGAGTAGTTTGTCATTGCTACTGCGAGGCTGGCTTCAGGGGTTTAGTGCTGATGCTTCATGTTGCACCGTCTATCAGTACTCCTCTTTGGTCATGTCTGCCAAGAAGGCTACTCACCTGAAGCTGCCTCAAAGCCGATTGAGTACCCCCCATTTCTGTAGGGTTTAGGGTTTCCGGTTAAGGTATTTAGGGTATAGGGTCTAGGGTCTACCTATGACAACTATACAGGATTGAATGCTAAGGTCTGTTCCTTCAATAGAAGCGGGCCGAGAAAGATCCTTTATCAACCCTCGTAGAACCTTACAATGAGCCCTACCAAGCCTTCTTGCGAGAACCTTTTAAGCCTAAGCAACAACACAAATACAGAGAGAGAGAGGGAGAGGGAGAGAGAGAGAGAGAGAGAGAGAGAGAGAATAAACATAAAGGCTGAACCCCTAAACGACCACGAGGATTCAAAAACAGCCTAAACCCTAAACCCTCAGCCCTCAAGCCAAGGGGCCCGTCGGGTTCGAAGAGTCCCCAGGTCTGTTCGCCGCAGCTCCCGTCGTTGGCGGGGCCCATCTTCCAATGGTAGGCCAGCAGCCGACCCTTTGCGGCCAAGGCCTCCACCTCTTTGGGCTGCTTAGAGGGTTCCTTTAAGGCTTGGGCTGGGGGGTTATTGCTCTTTCGGCCCCTCGAATTTGTGTCAGGGCTTTTTGTCGGCTTTCCTTTTGAAAAGCTGTTAGGTACTGGTGAAAGAAGGTCATCAAGCATGACTGTCATGACCGTCGCGGCAACCATCTGGTAGGACCCAGGTAAACCCTGAAAAACAGCATACGGATTTACAGCGCCCTCCCCGCAAGGCGCCCCCAAAGCTGCAATGTAGGAGCCTAAATAGTTACCACTACTATTTTGGGGGTGCCTTCTCATATTATAGTTTAATGGGCCCCCAAACCCTATTCTAAGTATTGAGGCCCCTAATATAGAACCCTATTATAATAGATCCCTTATAGAACCCTTTAAGGATCCCTTTAACGGGAACCCCTATTCTAATTATTAAGGCCCCTATGTTAGGACATTGAGGGATTTCAGGCATCTCTGACCGGGCCCCATGAAGGACTCC